GGGCCAGAAGCGGAGGGAGGGTACGGTGGGCTCTGGCGTAGTAGAAAACCGCAGTTTAGACCAGCTGGTGGAGAGTTCTGTGAGTGTGGAGGTTGTAATGCCCACGGGACACTTGGAGCCCCTTACTTGTGTTTCTGGCTGTAGTACCGCTGAATTCAGTTCTCTGACTTGCCTGTACAACTGACTTACGAAATCAGTGACGTGCTCTCGTAGGCTGCACGTATCCATAAAAATGGTTTACAGTGAGGAAGCACAGATGACCCGAGTGCGTTTCAGATGACGAAAAGAAGTGATCAGGGATAGGAGATGCACACTGGTAATCCTTCGGGGCTGTGGGAAAACTGAGATTCCAGTTAATCCTGTGATTTGTCTTGTGGAAAGCAGTACAGACGGAGCAGTACGTCCTGTGCTGAGCTGGCTAACTCACCTGTTTTCATTGCAACGGAACGCTGAGATCCAGGAAAATATGTGCCGTTACGTTAGCCCGAAGGTTTCAGGCAAGCACAGTCAGAGGCATATATGCCGCTCCTTCTGTTAAGGAGTAAGGAAGATAGCCAGGAAGGTCATACTCATTCTAAGGAAGAAAATACTTTCCTTTTCACTGTTCCTATCTGAGGATTTTACATTTAATTTTGAGTCTTTTCACTTGGATGTTTAGGAGGAAATTCAAAATGTAAACAGCGTTTATTAAGAGAAAGCAGCATAGGTAGACCTGTCTTCCGTTCATCCTCTGGATTTGGAGTGAGGGAGTACAGGTTTGGGTGCCCAAACAGGAGGGAAAATACTTGTTCAGAAATTCTTCCCGGGTCCTCTTAAAGCAAGCAGAGGCTGGTAATACGCTTACTTCCTTGACATCTGAAATATAAAACCAGTAAAGCTTGATTTTTCTCTTGTATGTTGCCAAACATTAACAAGAGACCAAAGGTGAGACAGTCAGTGCTCTGAAGAGCTTACGGTCAAGAAGCCAGGGGTCCAGCCAAAGAACCTGGGTGGAATAATTTGGATTTTAACCAACAATTCAGTTCTTTGGGAAAAGCAAGACCTGGCTTTAATGGCAATGAAAAAAATCACCTTGTTGCAAACTCTTTTGTGGGTCATTCATTCTGTAAAATTCTTTCTTTGTGCCGTCCTAGGCTGAAGCTCAGCAGACTCAAAGGTAAAGTTCAAATGATTTTTATCAGCTGGGTTTCCCATTGCGAGCTTCCTAGTGACAGGAGACGTGCAAGGGGAAGAGCTCTGGTGGGAGGCTGAGGAAATGCTGGTGGGCTTCTGTCTCCCTGTTTCACCCTCAAAAGGCTGCGTGCTTCCCGGTACTGAAGGGGGCTCTTTAAATAATCCAGAGCCTCATCTTGGGTAGCGGTGACTGCGGACAGCTCGTGTTGAAGTTGTCGGGACCTGGGGACACTTACCAGCTTGTACTGTCAGCTTCCCATTTCACCAGGAGTTGTGCACGTCCTTCCCTCTGTGTGTAGCCCTGCGATGACCTGTCTTCATCCCCGCGCGTCCGCGTGTATTTGCTGGGACGCTGGTGATGCGGAGGAGCTTACTTCTCCGTTCCCTACGTGCAGGTGAAGAAGATGGGTGGCTTAGGGCTGCTGGCTATGGATGTGCCGGAGGAGTACAAAGGAGCAGGCCTCGACTACCTGGCCTATTCCATTGCCGTGGAGGAGATCAGCAGGGGCTGCGCGTCCACGGGTGTCATTGTCAGCGTCAATAACGTAAGCATCTCCGGTTGTGTGTGAGGGGCAGGCGTGGAACCGAGTCCGGCAGCACAGGGTTCTTGGAGAGGGGTGTGGGGGGGAAATGGGATCTGTTCCTGGTGGGTTCTGGTGTGTTGGAGAGTACTTGGACATTACGGAGTTATTGGATTGCTTGCACCTTTGAGAGGCACTAACTCAACTCGCAATTCTTGAAGTCTCTGTATTTAGGGCCCATACTGAAGTTCGGCTCTGAAGAACAGAAGCACAAGTGGATTGCTCCCTTCACTGGTGGCGAGAAAATCGGATGTTTTGCCCTTAGTGAACCAGGTGATGTGAATGCCATCGTTCCCGTTGTAAGGATCCTAGGGCAGCTTCTTTCCTTCGTCAGGTTTGGGATGGACTTCAGGTCTGTCAAATTCTAACAGCTTGTGGAAAGGGAATTCATAGCAATTCTGTGCCAACGAAATTTCAGAGCCCAAGGTATTAACTGCCATCCCCTCTGTGTGAGCCAAGCTCTGGAGACGGACACAGACACACTGGCCTTTTCCCTTGTGTTTGGGCCCTGTGGGAGGGATGGTGCCGGCACTGCGGCAGTTACAGGAGGTGCCATGAGCCGTCAGGGTGGGGGTGTGGGTGGGGGGGTGTGGATTTGCACCCCAGGCTGCCGCTGACTGTTTTGTTTGCTGGTGCCTTGCTCAGGAAACGGCAGTGACGCGGGTGCAGCATCCACGGTGGCACGCCTGGACGGCGATGAGTGGGTTCTGAATGGCACCAAGGCCTGGATCACCAACGCCTGGGACGCCTCGGCCACCGTGGTGTTTGCTACTACCGATAAATCCCTGAAACACAAGGTGTGTTCAGTGGGTCAGTCAGAAGAAGGGGTGCGAGTCAAGGAGTTGTGCAGAAGCACTTTGAAAAGGCTCTGGGGGTCTTTGAGCGGGCGCTGAGCAGAGGAGGGGCTGATGTGCACCAGCTTTGCTCTGTCTCCGCTCTCCCCTCCCTTCTCCTGGTTACCTACACGTGGTTTCTATGAAGGATGTTTGGAGGAAGCCTGTTGACAGCCAGGTAAGTGGGATGTTGGCACCATTCCTAAAAGTTTGGGTCTTGTTGCAGGGCATTAGCGCCTTCCTGGTTCCCATGCCAACTGCTGGGCTGTCGCTGGGGAAGAAAGAAGACAAGCTGGGAATCCGAGCCTCTTCCACTGCCAACCTGATATTTGAGGACTGTCGGATACCCAAGGCCAACCTACTGGGGCAGCTGGGAATGGGCTTCAAAATCGCCATGGTAAGAGAAGGAGCGGGGTGCAGCTGGGGCTGTGTGAAGCAGCAACTCCCGAACTTGCCCTTGTCAAAACCATTTTCAGACTTCTGATGGCTTTGTGCGAACCGCTGGTACGAGCTATCTGTGTGACAGTAAGCAGTTGACTCCTCTTGCCAACGTGGGAGAAATCAGCCAGAGCGCTTGATGAATCTTTAATTTGCCACAGACCCTTGACAGCGCTTTTTGTAGGCTCCGCGTGGCAGTTCTCAGAAGGAACCCTGGCGCCCTGTCTGCAGGGGTCATATATTTTAATTTTTATCCTCTCCCAAGCCTCTCTTCCTCCAGTTTGTGCCCATAGATAAAGAGAAAACATGGCATTTTCTCTACGTACTTTGGTACAGGAAAGCTGTCCCAGAGGCCCAGGACAGCCTCTGGGTAATGTCTAAAGATGGATGAAATCTGAGTTAGGGCACGTGTGCGACTTCTGAGGAGGAGCCAGGCAGCTGCGACCAGCGCGTTCCCTGCCCTGATGCACTCCCTGTAGTCCCTTGCTCTCTCTGCAGGGACAAAACACCGTTTGTTGGCCTGGCTGTGAGAAAGGCTGAGCTCCCTGGAGACAGGCCCATTCCATTATGTCCACAACTAAAGGGACCTGCCAGTCACCAACCCCTTTTTTAAGACAGCCCGGGGCTGAGATGGTGAAGCCTTTTCTCCCTGTGCTGTGATTTCTCTCTGTGCTGTGGTGAGGCAGGTAAAAGTCTAATGGGCAGGTGTTTTGAGGTCAATCAGGTTATTGACTCAATTCACTAGTCATTTTGAAAAATGCCTCCTTTGGTGTGTGCACAGATGATGCAGGCAAAGAGGAAAACCAACCAGATTTCCTTTTTTTCAGTTAAACCCTGCTGCACAGTGACCTGGGGGGTCTAGCTGAAGGGTTCTTCTCAGCCCCTTCC